AAAACACGCGGAGCAAAAAAAACATTCTTACCATGCAGTTGTTGTCGAAGCTGAACACATGCAGAACCCAACCGCAACGAATCCGACACAGCGCAGAGATGGTGGTAGTAAGGTAGACGCAGAGAGACACAAAGCCCAAGCTAGTAAAAGTTTTGTCTCTACAGCCGTAACTCATCACAACCAATGTGAACCCTTGTGCGAGGTTGGGACAGCAGCTGTCAACACCCCCAACAGCTTCTGGTAGCCGTCAGACACGTCCTAAAAGACGCAGCGTCATGGAGCCTCTTGATGCTTGGACCTCCTGCGCCTCGGCTGGTTTCTGCCAATGGCATTTTGAGGCGCAGCTTTTTCGAGTAAGTCAGTTCGTAGCCTTGCAATCCAAAGACTAAGACGTTGCTCCAGGAGACTACAAACCGTGAACGTTAAACCCCTAAGCGCCTTCGCTCCTGGTTTACTACCTCATGGCTTTGTAATGCTTTGTAGCTGTGCAGCTGCTCTCGCACGCTTTGAAAAGTCCTGCAAGCAGGAGCTCATCTACTTTGGGGTCTTCTTAGGATCTCAAGTGACAACATGCTAGTACATACCAATACTGCTTGATTCCATGCGAGCGTGCGTATAGACTTATGCAGCTTGATCTCCAGTCCTATCATTTGTTAGACGTGCTTGCATAGCGAACTGAGAGGAACACTTGTTGGAAGCCTTGAGTTCGTTTGTGGGTAGTGCTTTTGTGTGATCATGATCCAGTGTTGAATGTTGCTGGCGTTGTACATCATGATTGGGCTTTCTGCTCTGACAGCAACGTGGAAAACACTAGGAACCACGCGCCCTGTGAGCGTGATGTTACTGTTGCATGATCTGTTGCATGACACGCTTGGCCACGCTTGGCCTTAGGTTTGCATATAATTACAATGCTATGTAAGCAAAAGTAGCAGAGTGTGATAACATGCCGCGCCTGCTGGACTTGACTGCGGTCCCGGATGCGTGGTCGTTGAAAACGCTGATCGACGCTTGGTTGCACACAGCCTGGCTACGTATCTGTCGGAGCGCGAAAGATTACGAAGCCCCCCTGGCAGTGATCGAGCAGCGCTTGGAGGAGCTCTGGGTGTCTGAGCCCGAGAACGCGAAACAGTGGCTCGATGCCCAGGAGCAGAAGACGTCGCAACATCTGCCTACTTCACGGCAGGGACAGTTGAGTGGAGCTCTCTTACGGTATGCCAGGCCTGAGCTGCAGGAGTACGCGTTTGTGGAGTCCTTCACGCCAGAAGGTTTGTCGCGCACAGGCTGGGGTTCTTGGACCGAGGGACTTTTTCCTCAGCTTCAAGATGAATGCTGGCGCCTTGGGGATCGCCTGGTTGCGGCGGGTGCCAAGGCTGAAGAGGTAAGCAAGCTGGCCCCTGACCCATCCGCAGCGGATGGTGATCGCAGAGCAGGAGAGGCCGGCTAGCAGTTCGACGGGCAGATCAGAGCTACAACGGCAGTAAGCTTAGGCTCTGTCGCAAGCACTGCAAGAAAATTGAGATTTGTTTTACGCACGCAGTCGGTCCATGCAGCGCAAACTTGATGGCAATGATGTTTAATCAATCATAAAACCCAAGCCGCAGTCCTGCATGAGAGCCTTCCAAGCTGCTTTAGTCTCGTTGTCCACTCTACTTCTTGTGAGATCAGCTGTTTACTGCATCTTCGCGAGGCGAGACCTCCTTCTTGCAGGGCCTGGTGGAGGACAAGTGAAAAGGTCAGCCGCTGCCGGTAAATCACAGACTTTCAGTGTAAATGGTTGTGTTTTTCATGTTTTAGGCTGAGGAACCTCAAACAGGGAACGTAGATTTGGCATCATCTATTCTCCATCAACAGTTTTATTGAACATTCTTGTAATGGCTGAATTCTTACGGATCCCCGTGGAGGGATCATACGTGTGCCTTCTGCTCGCATATGATGAAGGCGAGAAGCTCCCAGAAAACATCTCAAGGGCAAAAAATCAGCTCCACCTTGAGACGCAGCTTAGCCTGGTTCATGCTAGATTCCTGAAATATGGAAGGAAACATGTATACGCTGACCCTGGGGTTCTTGGTACGCCTTTGCGATTCCCTTGCACAAGACCCGAAGTTACACCCGAGGCATGTGTTGCGTGGGGAAATTCACAGAAACACCTTTAAGTCATTTACACTCCGAGCACTCCTTGTCTGCGGAAGACCCACAAACTCTTGATTGCAGGATGTCGAACTATGGGACGTTTTGTTACCTTCGATTTCCAGGCCGAGGCAATCGCCAATGGAGGCGCGCGGCATGAAGGTGAGATGGTAAGGGGCTTGAAAGGTCCATGTGCTCTCCCAAGCCGATCGAGTGCCGTGAAAGGAGGATGAGTTCGGATTCCCAGGGCATGTGTCAAAATCATGGTCCGTGTGCACATTCTGAGACACTGGGATCCTTGGGGATTTGCACTTGTCTAGGTTTTCGGGACGGCATGTAAGATCCCTGGGTTCAGGCAAGCAACCGCGCGACAGCACGACTTAAGACTCCGTCAGCAAAACTGGCAATCTGACTAGCTCCTCCTTAGTTTTCCGGTGTACCTCCCCATGCACAGCTGCAAGAGTTGAGCACTCAATTGCCTATTTCAATTCAGTTGGCATTCTCAAAATCTGAGACCATCCAAATGCCCAACCTTTGGCGTGCTGATCCCAAATAAGGCCGTAAACCCCGAACCCCATAGATGCACGCCTAGCCGCCGACCTCTGTCGGGAAATGGGCTCAAAACTGAAGAGGTGTTTTGGATGCGTTCTTAAGGCTTCCTCCAGGCTGAGGAGGGTTTGGGCACTTGTGTTCCAGCCACCATTATCCTTCCAATTGGGCCTTCATTTGGCACGTTTTTGACACCTCAACATACTCAGAGGTTTGGAGTGGTGCTGGATCCTAATACACGCGGTGGCAATGGAGAGGGGGGGCCTAGCCAGGCGCACATTTCCGTTAAAGTGGTGTACAATGGTGGCATAGGAGCTTCCAATGTGCCGAAAACAGCGTTAAACAACTATGCAAAATGCACTGTTAACAAGGTCGACAACTCATATTTTGAGTGGTCTGACGTTTACAGTAAATTTCGGGGCCTAGCAGCCCCTAAGAAGCCAGCATCATGAGCATCATGGGCCAAAACATGGTAAGTTTGCGAAGAATCCCGTTCAACTCGCTCTGGCTGTTTGTTGGGGTTTCTATCATTCCTGGTGCCACTTCAATTCAGCCCGACATTGGGCCCCACCAGTGCTGACGGTGCTCGCGCATGATCGTTCCGCGCTTGACCCACCATGCGGCATGCGAGCATAATTTGCACAATTGGTCTTCTTTGTTCAGAAAAATTCCATCAAAGCCCAGTTTGGATAGAAACTTATCCTGTTTTCTCGAGTCGGCGGCTTGAGGGCAAGTACTGTAGGGTGCCGGCCAGGCTGGCGAGTGTTGCAGGCCCCAGATGCTAAGATTTCGTATCAGCCCTAATGACAGGTTGTACTGGGTACCTGAGGGAGACTTGCCACAATGATAAATTATTTTTGATCCTGAACCTTGCAACCGTTTGTAAGCCCAAAGACAGTCAGCATGTTTGAGTACGGAGTCTAAACTTTGCAGCTCGGACCATGGAGGATGAGTAGATTGAACGTGCTCAAGCTGATGCAGCACAGCACTGCTGCTTTGAAGTCTCCCGAAAAATTGGACAAGCAGCGAGTGCAATGTTCCTCGCGGTGGCAAAGACAATGCTCGCAGGATGCCTTGCGCTGCTGGCTGCAAGCTTGCAAGGCTGCGGCGGCTGCGATCAGACAAAGGCCACAGGTTGTCTCAATACGTGGAACCAGCACCTCTTGGGTGTTTCTCAAAAGTGGGGCCCCGCAACCCGTAAATGTAGCAACCCCTTTAGCAGTGATACCCAAACAAGGGCCCACACTTTGAGAAGCTCCCACACGCAATTTTGGGAGGATTTTTGTGATTTGTCTCAGGAGCCCACCCGTGCAGACTATGATTTCTTGTAATGTACCCTTCTTACTTGAAGGAACCCTTGTACGGGCTTTAGTGGGTGGTACCTATGGGGTCGCTATCGGGCTTTTACAGTGACTATAGGTACTTCATTGACAACCGTGCAGACATCATGGATGGTGCCGTGACTCGGCCATGCGCAGCCTTGAACGACCTGGCGATTCTGCTGCCCTTGAGCAATCCTTTACTTTTGAAAATGGTATGTCAGGTAAGTGGAGTGATGTACTAGGTATCCTCACCAAGTGCACTCGAGCTCTCCAACTAGTCTTTTGGTTCTTGGCTATTCTTGAAGAAGCCACACAAAGAAGAAGCCTACGCTACCTTCTAAGCAGAGTATAGGTGAGCTGTATGAAAGAAAGCGAGTGCTGCTCTGACTATGAGCTCAGCCAAAGCATCTGGGTCATGATTCGAATGTTCCTGTCTTGGTTGTTGTTCACTTACTTAAAATTGTGTTGCCTGCGGACCTGTGTTACATCTTACGAACTCATGCTTTTACATCTGGCCCTCATCATGACTAAGGCATGAACAATGCCATATTCAGCCTTGATGGCAATGGCGGCTGCACTGGAAGCAACGCCCTGACAAGCACCTGCAATGATAGCTGAGCTGAGGACTGCAAAATCGATTTCCCCCGTATAACCTGATCGTCACGCCGGAGGAATTGCAGTACAAGCGTCGTTTCACTCAGATCGCCACAACGAAGCGCTGGAACGCAGGCCAAGAGCAAATTGGACCGTCGACGGCTCCAGGCTGTCGACATGTACAGAGTACGTGCACTTCTCGTCTTGCTCCGCATCCTGATCAAAGAGGCTGCATCATGATTGCTGCAGGTTGGAGGCTCTTGCTTTGCCTACGTGGCAGTATGATATCAGAATCATAGAAGGCTCTGGATCACGTGGAACCCAAAGCTCCAACATCCACATGGCATCTTCAGCAAGCAGTTGTGCTTACATTCGTTTGCATTATTCCCAAAGGTATTCGGAATCAAATGAATGAAAAACACTTCGCATGGCAACCCGAACAAAGCACCAGACCTGAAGACGCCAGGACAGTGAGATGTACCCTGCCGCCACACGTAGCTGACTTAGGCTAGGCCTGGAGCTTGTGTGGGGCAAAAGGCGGGCGCGCGCTCTGCGCAAGAAGTGGGACATTTGACTTGTCAGTGCTGGCGACTTACTTGGAATTATCTTTTAGCAACCTTTCCTCCTCATGAGCCCATCTAGAGGACTTCCTGGCCAATGCATGTCTGACTTCAGGAGCTGCGGGATGAAACGTCTACGAAGCTAGGTCAAAATATTTGCAAGGCAACTTCTGCCTAGAAGAGCAATGGACAGCAGTTTGTAGCAGATGTAGTTGCGCTCACCAACAAGGAATTACAAATAAAAGCCGCACTCATCATCATCATCATCATCATCATCATCAGCTTAAGTGATGTCCCTACAGCCCCTAGATTTTGAAGCATTAGAGTGAACTCTTGCATCTGTCTTGAGAAAGCAGCTAGTAGTCAGCACCGCAAGCAACGCCACCAGTGGGACCCAACCGGGCTGAATTGAACAACGCAGAGATGTCAGTTTTGAGGCAAGCACACACAGCACCCAAAAGGAATCCTCTTCACAGCCATCAAGCTTCAGCTTAAAGTCTCCTGGAGATGGTGCGGCCAACGTCCTAGTACATGAACATCCATCCTCAACAATCCCTTGAAGAAACGCAAGACTGCGAGAATAGCTGTCAGCCACAGGAAAACTTGGGAGGCCTAAGAGTAGTAAGGTAGCCACCATGTCGAAGCTTATGGAGTCCTCATGTGGCCATCAATGCAACCTACCAGCTTCCAATAGCATGCAGATAAGTCTTTCCTTCTCAGAGACAAGCTATCGTACGTCTTTGGAGCCTCTTGCCCTTATAATATTACTCTCATAGATTTTTCTACGGCCGTAATCATCATCATCATCATCATCATCATCATCAATAATATCAATGCGCTTCTCGTTATACTGATTGCTGGACGCCATGGACTAACGACCCGGTTTCTTCGGCTGGCGGGCTGAGGAGCGGCTTCGTGGAGCAGCCCAGGGGAATGAAAAGGTAACATACAGTAACAGCATTTTCATTGTTATTTGAAGTGTTATCTTTCTTCTGAATTTGGAGGGCGCTCGCGTTCCGGGGCCTCCTGTGGACATTGCGGTCAAGACTTCTCAGAGTTGCCAGGTCTTGCCTCACCGATGATGCTGAGATGGCCGATCGTTGCGGGTCACGCAATCTCGCATCTTGGCACGGCTGTAATCTTTCATTGATATTCCAAGTGCTACGTCACCTAGAGTGGCACTGCTTACCGGGCCCAGGCATTCTTCATTGGCCAAGTTTGCATGGGCAGCAGGATGCAGCGTCCAACATGCCCAGCATCATTCTGAGGTCACGGAAGGGGAGTTGTTCATCCCCTTCTCCGTCCTGCCGGCAAAAGGCCTTTGGGGTCTGAGATCTCTGACACCGGTAACTATGATTGCCAGCTTTGTTGGAGTCGGCAGTCCCATTTTTCTTACTACTGCAGATATGGGGTTGAAAGCTTCTGCCGGGAGATTCAAGCTTCAAGGCTACGAAAAGAGCCCAGAGCTCCTTACAGGATCTCCATTGAGGCAGAGGGCGCTAGGCAAAGCCGGGACCCTGCTTTACTGGAAGCCTGTAGATCCTGGCCTCCCGCTTCATCCCCGACCCCTGAGCCCGTGAAGCTTCATGCGTAAAAGCATTCCCGCCTCCAGATGCTAAGATGGAAACTCGGATGGGCTTGCGCTTGAAATGGCGCAAGCCGGCTTCAGATTCAGTTTCGATTACCAGCTGCTTCCCGGCGTCTTCACCATTTTGGTCTAGCAAAGCCAAAGCCCTTAAAATCCTGCCAGCAGAACACGCAGCAGAGCGAGAAAGCATCCAACAGGCTTGTTGCAGCCTTTATGCTTGATTCTGGAAGAAGCCTTCGGTGACACCTTTTTTCAACCATAGGGAAGAATGAGAGCAAACTGTCATTCCATCATGTTTTATCCAATTGTTGTACTTGTCCGTGTTCTCGTCATCATGTATCATCACTCTTCTTGATTCCGTTGGACTCACATCTTCTTGTTAGCGCGAACCCCTTCCAGCAGTAAGTATTTGGATCCTTTCGCGAAGCTCGCAAATTACAAATCACCCGTCTGCCTTGCTCGGCTTTTGTTAGCCAGGCGTGGCATCTGAGGCTGCGGTGGGCATCCGGCTCAGGCGGGGGAACCTAGCAGACAATATTTCCCTCACAATACAAAGTAGCAATAGACAATTAGATAGCATGTATCGTAGCAAGAAGTTATAGTTAAATGCAGGCAGTACTCGTAGCATGCTCAAGAGATGTGCACCTGGAGCAGGGGCTCAGGGTGCAAGATTGTAGGGCCTGGCTCTTACTACTACTCACTACTCCTACTACTACACTTGCTCCGCCATTTTCTTTGAGCTGGCTAGCATTCTCCTGTTCGTTTCTCAGAGCGCTGACATGAGCACACTGGCTGGCTAACACGCTAACGCTGCAGGCGAAATATCAATGTCACGTTCTTAGGCTGTCCCGCAAAGGCTCTTCTTTGGAAGTCGTTTTATGTGGTAAAACATTATGTGGTGAGTCGATCGAACCCGCATCTTCTCGCTTTCCTGTAAAGATTCTGAACTCATCGATGCCGCGGCCTCACCGCTGAAGAGATGCCATGAGCACCAGCTGAGCCAAGGAGTGTCGAAGGCTTGCCAGACATTGGCACCCCGAGGCGAGTGCGACTTTGTTTCATTTACCCCTTCGTTGGCGGTCGTTGTACGGGGGGGTCGCCGTAGCCCCGGACATGACTATCTCTAGAAACATTGGAAGATACGAAATCGAATAAGTGATGTTCAAAATTTGAGAGCCAGTAAGCCGCTCGCCTGTCGTTGTCGAGGCTCATCATTGGCTTTCGCTTCGGAACCCTCGCCGCTCCAGCCAACATTCTGATATGTGTTTTTTTTTGGTTTTCTCAGTTTGACCGGGGGGTTGACAGGATCTTTGGTTCAGGCTAGCTCCTTGCATGGTTCCTGAGTGCCTTGAGGCAACCGTTTGGTCATGTAGGGCCTCCTACCAGAGGTTATGGGGATGTTTTTGCATCTTGAAGCCGCGCAAGGATGTTGAAAGTTGCGAGGCAAGCTCTGCACAAATGATTGCGTTGTCCCCATAGCTAAGACAGTGAAGCTGCTGGCTTAGCTGAACTGAGAAACTAGGTCTTCTCTTTGTGATGTTTTGTCTCGATCGTGGATAAGCATAGTTCTTGTAATACTCTGGCAGACGACAATAACAGTGATGCTGACTACAGTGCCAAATGGTGGTGGAGTTGTGAACAAGGAATTTAGGGCAGAACGTCAGGCGCGCCCTGCAGACTTGTTGTTGTGATTTTGGCGGGTGCCTCCTCTTCTTCGTACTTATTCATTTGTAAAGGTCATTGTTGTTACGCTTCCTCTTTTCATCCGGCACGAGATTCCAGGAGCATCTCCACAAGCAGGGCTTCGAAGTCTTCCATCAAATATCTAGCTGTGGTGGAGCAAGGAGCCGTGCAATGCTTTATGTAACCACTACGCGATCCAACGCCATCCGGGAGGTAGATGGAGGTAGTCTATTCTAAAAGTCGGGATGCTGTCCGGGTGACGTGGTGACCAGAGGTCAACTCTGCAACTATCATGGCCCTTGGTGTTGAAATGCTTCCTCGGTCTGGCGTTACGCCGCAGATGCTCCCAGGAGCCCAAGTAGCTACGGCATTTTCACTACGCACCTTGCAGTGTATTTAGGGTGGGTTTGGATGTTTTGGAGGCTTTGGGTAAGTCGGCTCGCAGCCAGAAGCTGCTCCTGACGTTGAGAGACGCCCAGGTGTCTGAAAATCGTGTTGGCAAGGCCAAGGAGGCCGGTTCCTATGCCGCGTGCTGACACTATATTAGTATGAACTGTACTGCACTGTGCTATCAATGCCTGTACGCATACAAGATTATACAAGTGTTATGATTGCATTCCGATCACAACAATCAGTGCCAGTGTCGTGCCACATATATGCAGTAGTCTCAGTCTAGCAGAGAACTTTTCCAGGAATTCGCACCCAATGTAGGGAAATGGCGTCTACCCGAGATTGAGGACCAACGATTCTTGTAATTTGCTTTCAACAGTTCCTCGCAGAAGTCATTGCTCAGGAGCCGCCTTGCTTGACTATCCATTGGTACATCTGTTGCAAATTGGAAAAATCCTGGTATGTTCTCGTAAGTATGTCGTGTGCATCAACTCCAGAGTTGCGCAAATGCAGCCTGCTCAGAATTTCTGGCTCCAGGAGTCCAGGAAGGTGCCCAAGCAGATCAGTATAGCAGGTGATTCCAGAAATCCCTACGGAAAGCTGTAGAATTGGCTGAAGCTCTCTACCCTCAGCACGAATCCTGCAATGCCCACAGGTTAGCGTCAAGACGCAGCTGGGCCTCGTGTGCCACGACCGCGCATGGGTTCCGGAGGCAGATTGTTCTGAGCTGTTTGAGCGCGGCTTTTGAGAACCGACAGCATGAACAGCCAGTTTTAAAGTCGAGCCCAAATTTCTTTGGAATTCTTAAGATGATGCACAGAGTGTCCCCCGCATGAGTACACGGCTCAACCTGGCCGCAGGGCATGTGGTACCAAATCATCTTACAATGATGACAGCGCTTGGAATGCTCCATGCCAGGCATCCCAAAACAGTGGTCTGGCCCCGGCCGCAGATTGAGCTCAGGCGACAATTGTTTGTATGCATCTGGTAGGCGGGCCAGACAACTAACTTCACAGCTTGTAATCCCGGAATCTGCATGGCTGCATGGCATTGCCAAACAGATAAGTTTTCGATTGGAGTCAGGTCCGCGTTGTGCTGCCTCCGCCACTTCTGGACCTGGCCTCAAAGGGCATCTCTTGCCGGCTCAAGGTCAGCCCCTCCAAGTGAGAGTGCGGGGGTCAAGCTGCAAGTATTGCTTAAACTCTGAACGTGGCCTTTTCTTCAGACAATCCAGTTCCTCTTGCATCACGCTGGTGGCGCTAACTCACTAGGCAGCTCACA